GGTTATGTCCCTCCCGGTTAATATCTAACCCCAGACGGTAACCCCTGTTCTGAACTCTTGTGTACCCCAGACTGGTTTTTGAACTTCACATGAATGAAATCACGTCATAAGAATTTGTGTTTGGTTTATTTCTTTAAACTATCTATGAAATGTGTCCATTTTTTGCATGGAGTGATCGTTCATTATTTTTGTTGCTTTGGTGTCCACTATGTGATTATACCACATTTTATTTATTCATTTAACTGTCAGTGGATATTTGCTTTCATCTCATAAGTTTTAGTGAGCTGATTTTTGTGAATCCCAAGCTTCCAAAGTAGATAACTCCTGTGATAATAGGAATTATTAGAAAAATGCTGATCAAATTATCATGTAAAGGAATTTCAGTTTTAGGAGTTGGTTTAGGAAGGTCAAAACTGAATTTGGTAGAATTAAATTATATAAACGTTAATACTTGGTATATTGAACACTAAGCATTGGTGAGAGCTGTTAACTGATCTCTTCTAGATAGTTTTTTTTTTTTTAATTTTTTTTTAACATTTATTTATTTTTGAGAGAGAGAGAGACACAGTGTGAGCAGGAGAGGGACAGAGAGAGAGGGAGACACAATCTGAAGCAGGCTTCAGGCTCTGAGCTGTCAGCACGGAGCTGGACGCGGGGCTCGAACTCATGAACCTGAGATCATGACCTGAGCCGAAGTCAGACACTTCGCTGACTGAGCCACCCAGGCGCGCTAGATAAAGAAAGAGTCTGAATTGTGTACAGAGTTGCTTGTACTTTTGTATCATTCTCTCTTTTTTTTAAATAACTTTATTATGAAGAATTTTTAACACATGTAAAAGTAGATAACAGTATAATGAATGCTCATGTATTTAGTTATCAACTCTCAATCTCATTTCATCTATATGCCAACTCACTCTATACCTTTTATATTGTTGTGAATATGTCCAGATATATCATCTCATTTGTAAATATTTCAGTATGACGGGTTTTTTGGACCTTACAGTAATATCGTACATAAAAATAAATAATTCCTTAAGGTAGGTATATATAAGGTTAATATATGGAATCAATTTTCCAGTTGACTCAGATATTTTAATTTTTTCATTTTTAACAGTTTGCTTAGAGTCAAGAGCCAACTAAATGAGGTCCACATTGTGATTGGTTGTCTTTAAAGTGTTTCTAATTTTTTTTTTTAGGTTTCCCTCCATCTATTTTTCTTAGCAGTTTATTTGTTGAAGAAAC